GTATAATTAAATGGGTCTAGCTTTGTACACTGAATGAACTCGTCACGATACTTAATGCATGCTTCACGAAGTAAAACAACATCATTCCTGCCATAAACATACTTTTTGAAATCAAACACACCACCAGAGACTGTGCTGTACCACTCATCAAACTGCTCTCTGTCCTTGTCACTCATCGAGTCATAGCCGTAAAAACTCTTGTCGGGGTATGGGCCCACATAGTTCTCATTTTGTGTCAAATTAAATTTGTGTGGAAAATACCCCTTCTCTGAACATGTTAGATTTAACGCTGATGCCGTATTAGCCAAACGCATTGGAATGAACAAGTATGAGTCTATGTAGTGCTGTTTGTACGATTCGTCATACATGGAGATGAGTCTACACCCCATCATGGTGATTTTGACAGAAATGCCCGCTTTAGAAAAATATTCCAGTAATAGGAAATTGTCAAAACCGGCTGCATTGTGTGCTAACCATCTGTAACCATGATATTTGGGGGTTCTAAACTCTCTGAGGAGTCTTTCTACACAGTCAGACCCCTCTGCTGTGAACTCTCTACCGTCAAATGTGATTGCGCAGACAAAGTTAGCTTCATGCTTACCATTTTCAAACCGTGTCTCAAAGTCAAAGAAGATGTAAGACTCGCTTGGTTCTTTTAATTTGATCGGCTGTATGTAACATTCATGTGTTGTATCTGATATTAATTCTTCACGGCAGTGAACACAACGTCCTGACATACACTTGTGGGGTTTTGGTTTAGTTAAACTAACATGATAACGTCGACCGCATGATCTACAGTATTTGGTCAAATCGCATGAGGACGCCATCTCCCCGGCAATAAGTTGTTGTTTCTTTTTCTTGTGTTGGTCATAACAATAGTCAGATTTACAATAGCGTGAACAGTCATCACAATATTTGACACGTATGGGTTTCTGGCTGCATTCTGTGTCCTGACACACATCGCAATGATATTTACAACTATGATCCCGCGCGATAGTGTACCCCTTATAACAAAACTTGCAAACATACGGTACGCCCATAAACGCTTTCAAATTTTTTACCAAGTAATAATGGCCATCATGGAGATACAGAAACACAGTCCTGGCATGTGGTTTGTCTTTCGTTTGGTACTTCTCTAAACCACCCGAACCGCTCTTGTGGAACACAACTATTTTAACACCAAACTTGAATTCGAAATGACCAATGTCATTAAACCCAACCTTGTGATCACGCATGTAACCAGCCTTTGCCTGTGTCTGATCGGCTATAGTTTCTAACGTGTTATGTGGCGCATGTGGGTTCAGAAAATGAGCAAGACAGATCGCGAAACACAGATTATTTGAAATGTTTGTTGGACAAAAGAGGTTCATTCTGTTCCTATCAATCACCTGATTGTGCGCAAGGTCACGCACCTTACGCCGAACACCGCCATTTTTACTCATAGCCATGGAGACTGTCAACACCAAACTATTGTCTGTTGTAATGTACTTGTTACTCTGCATAACCCTTTCAATTGCATCTGCAAACCTGTCAACGTTGTAACCATCTCTTGAAGACAACAAAGCATTTACATCAGATGTTAAACTATCACCTCTTAGGGTTATGTTGATTACACTACCGTCACCAGCCAACACCCTGGAGAATGCCACAATGTCTGATAGCATATTGTGTACATAGACAGTATATGAGGCCATGTCTGTGGATGGAGCATCGCGTAAATTCAGCATTCTGTGTAGCACAACACTATTAAACCTATTTCTCGGCACTACAGCGTATCCATTTATTTCACCACCATTTCTCACCAACTGAACCATGTCATTACTAGATAAACCAAAGTTAGGAGCTGTTGGATCGAATGTAGGAAAACTATGTGTCTGCAGACCGGTGCCTGTCTGTTCTCTGTTTAGGTGTAGTGTATTATTTTGTACCGGGTTTTCTAAGAACATTAAAGCTGACTCATACTCATCATTTAAGCATAGCAGTTGTTCACTAATAGATGTCTGCTCCCAAGCATCGGTTATGGCGGTATTACACATAAAATCTATGGAATGTCCATAATTATCGTCGCATCTACGGCATGTTGTTGGCGGGCTGTGTATTGCGTCGTTTTTATTTGAGAACCATTTATCCAATGTGGTCTGTAAATCATCAGGTGTGATATAATCATTAACATTTGCGTTGTGTTGATTGTATGTGTTTTGCAGATTAATACCAGTAGCCGACTCATACTCATCATTTAAACATTGCAATCGATCGCTAATAGACATTTGCTCCCAAACATCATTTAAGTCGCTAACACGCGGATTGTTGTCTGACTCCCGACACCTTTTAGATCCCATTATTTTTGTTTGTTTCTTTCTTTTACTAATAATTATTTAAACAATAATTTATGACGTGCTGATGATGTGGTTTGTTTAATAGGTACAAGTATGTGTAAAGAACAAAAATATTTTCAATTGCCACACAATAACTACTTGGATGGTCCTGCAACAGACAATTTTGTTGAACTGTAAAACCCTGTTGAGTTTAAATATTACATCTGTTAAAGATTTAAAATGTGCATTTTGTTCTTCATGCATAACCTGTACAATCTGTATGTGCTTTGATACCTGTTCAAACAGTATACAGTTTTCTTTTACTAATTCCCGATTATTTTCAGCTAGTTTTTGAACAATATTATTTAATCTACGTACAATAGCACCTTGTCTACGCTGTTTAATTGTATTTTTGGTAATCTCTTAAAGAAAGCTGACCCAGCAATGTTTTAAACTCAGTAACACCGCTAGAAAGGTAAGAGCCGCTTACCCGACGTTCGTGCTCCTGATTTGGTTTTAAACCCTCTCCATCAATGTCTCTGACTTCTTCCAATATTGGATTTAGTCCAGTATTAATTGGTCCAGTATCCTCGGCCTCATCCGGCTTTTCTGTGAAACTGTTCTGGTCCCACGTATTCAAAAGCTCCTCAGTCCAGACGACAGTGTCAACGTCCGAAACCGCTCCTGTCCGCGCCACATCACCACATGCAGTATGGTTACCGGTGCGTAAATCTGTAAACAGTTTAAGAAAAAACATTTACACACAACTGTTAATGTTAAAAATAACGTTGTAAAAAGTGTTCACTTTAATTAGTATTTTCTTACCCATGGATTTGCAACTATCATCAAGCCTAAGACGTTTCCCACGTGAAATTGACCCGTTGTTAGTGCTCAAACATATCCTTGGACGTTTTTCGCGGGAAACAGAGCTATCATCGGCTGTTTGACTCCTTCCACTCTGTGGCGGACCCCCAGGACTGCTTGTTAAACAAGGCTTAAACGTCAACAAAGCGCGGGGATCGCAGGCCGCAGAGGTGTTGGGTACAGCGTCGAATCCAGGTGGTGTTAGGAGACCAACGGACTCAACCAAATGGTTCAAACCTACTACAGAAAACAAATAGTCTGAATTAGTATAACATATCATTTTGCTACAAAATCAAAAATCAAAACATAAACTTTACCTCACCAAGGGGGTTTTCACAAGCCGATACGCTATCAGGTTCTGTAGAAATGCAGGAAATATTTTTTAATGAACATCAAGAGCTGTAAATAAATAAATAAGTAAGTAAATAATGCTATAAACAAACAGTGACATACCGTCAAACAGTTGAGATAAACCTTCAATACTTCTGATGGCTTCGATTGTTTCAAGCTCAGAGTTACCTAGACCAAGAACATTCCTGTTAAATACAAATTGTAACAGTCTTTTAGTTATTACTTTACACGGAAAATTAGGCAAAAGGTCTGTAGCATGGTACATACTTACAAAGAAAACTGGCGTCCATTTCTTGTTCCCGAAATACAACACACACGCACACAACAATGCCGTTGACGGTATTTAGGGTGAATGCAGGGTCTTTGCGAGCCGTTTTTATACACCATTTACTCATGGCACACCCCTTACTATGACCTGTTGAATACCTTTGTGTTTGATTGGTTTGGTTGGGTAGCCGTAATGATGGTGTCATATGAGACACACCCTCCCAAACCGATCCGCCCACCTGACACACACAAACACAATGCAGTCTTACATGTTTTAAAGCTGAAATTAGGCCTAAAAGTGTGTTAAACACTATTTACCTATATGGTCTTAGAAGTTTTTAAAGTTTAAAGTTGCAATTAGGTCTAAAAGTGTAAAAAAAAAAATTCTATCACACACACACACACACAGGCTTGCTGGAACTTAATATTTGTTTCCAAAGCTAAATTCCGAAAAGGGTATTTCTTTTTTAATTGCACCTAAACCCCTGAACAGATCATCAATCTTATGGAAAAACCTTGTAGCGTCATCCACTGACAAAACCAAAATAAAATTCAGAATATCTCCAGTTGATTCTGTGCGTGGTTTGTTGTGTTTGCTTGTGTATGTAACTGAAAACCTTATTGTAGCCTTTAAAAGCACAATTAGAATTTTATTCTATACACATAAGAGTGACTCTCCTATCTTTACCCAGTGTGGACATTGTCGTGTGACCAAAAAGTCACTCGTTCATATTTCCAGTCAATTTCTTCGGGTGTGAGAATAAATAGTGTAACAGCTTTTTTTTTCATAGTTAAAACCGACAACACGATCTTTGGACAAACACCAACCTGGTCGCACTCCGGAATCTTATTTCTAGGAATTACTGTACACACGGCCAGAGCGATCATTAACAAAAAGAAAAATAAGAAAAAAACTAGCAAAGCAAATAGTTTCAATACAACTAAATAAATGTTTCAAAATGAATTGTGTTTTTAAGATCTAGACTTTCTGACACTTTTAACACATTTTGGAGACACTGATAACAACGATTTAACCCCCCACACGCTACTCTAAAACCCCCTTTTGTTTTTAATCCGTCTAGACATTCTGGCGCTTTTAACACGCTGGAGACATACACAACACACATAGCTAAGAATCCACAATCAAACTACAAACAGTGAAAACCTACATGAAAGGGTTCAACATTCACACCTCACACCAACCCCCTCGCCATGCTCCCCCAACACAAATGTTGGTGGTAGGGGGTGTGGGGTGAGAGGGTGTCGTAAAACACCCAACCCATGACAGACCTGTCCCTCAAACTGACCTGTCACAGAGAGGGGGTGTCATAAATCGGGCTGTCGCACAGGGAGTCGTAAATCTTTGGGGTGAGGTGTGGTGAGGGGTGGGGGTGATGAGGGAGGTGATGGGGAGGGGTGGATGGGTGATGTGGGGAGAGGGCCCCTTGTTAAAATGTCTGTCCAATCTGTCCATCACAGAACCACAAATCATATGGGTCGTAAATCAGAGTCATAAATCAGGGTCATAAATCACACTTTGAAAAACAGTGTAGGATATATACTACTTATACACACTGCACTCAGTTATACACAATGCAATGAGTTATACACACTGTGCTGAGTTATACACACTACGCTGAGTTATGCACACTGCACTGAGTTGTATACTCTACCCTGAGTTGTACACATTGAGCTAAGCTGTACACACTGCACTGGGTGTGACGGTGCTGGTGTGTCTTTGTGACTCTGAGAGAGGAACTGACCTGCAGCTCACACTGAGTTTGTGTGTGTGTGTGTGTGAGTGAGCATATAAAGGTCAGTGCAGTTCTTCTCTTTAACTGAACATTAATTTTCACAGTCACTCAGAAGAGCCTCTACTTAAATTCCTAACAATAAATGAGCTGCTGAACTCAGCACTGAACACAAGAGTGTTTAAATTTACAGCATTCAAACATCAGTCAGTTAATAAAATACACCAACCAGCCACTTTATTAAGTCTACCTCCCTGTATACAAGCTTGACTGCAGTGGCCAGTCGGTGTATAATAACATTTATAAAAAAAAAAAACAAAACAGTAAACATTGTTTTAGTGTGAAATGCTGATCTGGAGGATCCTAACCAATAACTGTGGTTGCTGGTGTTAAATTAAAAGCATCATGAGCTCAGGGTGGAGTATTATAACCAAATTAGAGCTGTTTTACAATGGAATTAGAATTGAATTACAAATGATTTAGAATTAAATTAGAACAGAATTGAAACAGAATTAAAATTGAATAAGAATTGAATTAGAAATAGCTTAGAATTAAAGTACAACTGCAATTGAATAGCAATGGAATTAGAAAGAGTTCACTCAATTAATATAGAATTAGATTTGAATAGGAATTGAAATAGAAATAGCTTAAAACTGAACAGACAACAAATCCTGTTGTTCAAACAGGAAAATACCACTTACAGTAGACTTAAAGCACAGATTATGAACTGTTACAACAGCGTCATTGAAGTGAATAACAGTCTCTCTCACCTGTTGTGAATGGGCCCTTTAAAATTAGGGTCAAATGTCCGGGAGTCTCCTGCAGAGAAAAACAACAAACCTCAATTCATTCATCTTAATGTGTCAGTATCTGATCAATACAGTGATCAATACAGTATAAACATTGCAGTGGGAGCTCTAATGCAGCCTGATAGCTGATCTGTCTGAGTGATACTGAGTGATTGTTTAAATCATTGAGTAGAACCCCACTGAGTGAACAGTTCTAGATACACAGAACTGAATTCACTGCAATAGAGACAATATAGACAACAACACATCCAATACAGACCTGTATGTCTGATATTAACACCACATTCATCTTCCCTTATCAATATGACTGTGTTGTCTCCACTAGTCTCAGCTTTAGCATTATGGGCTGTTTTAGTTAACCTTTTTGGAAAATGAGTTAAAGTATGAATTAAAGCTGTTTACCGTATTTTTCCTTTGCCATCACTGAGGACTGATTTCTTCTTGTTGCATGAACACTCACACACTTCCTCACCACCTCCTATCTGACAGGAAACTGCTTGTGATGGCATGTTTGTGTTCAAGCTTAAGTTGAACACACTTCATGTCCAACAGCTAAATTTAGTCTGACAAAGAAAAAAATGACACAGAACGTTTGTACACTGAAATGCTGTATTTTGTATGAAAGGCTATCATTTGAAATGAAGTTTCCAGTTTTATTTACACTCATATTTGTACTTTATATTGTTTTGTTGAAAATCAGTAATCCCATATGACAAAAAGACTGAATTTAACAACTGATTTAAATAAATAAATAAATAAATAAATAAATAAATAAACCAACCCCTTTTTTAGGTCCATACTTTGATCAGTTTAGAAAACTTTCTTCAGATTTGGGTTTAGAGTTAACAAGTGTTGTAATAACATAAAAGGATTTATGTCATTTTTTTTCCATCTCGTAAATCAATAATAATCAGAAAGTTCAATTCTCTCACATGGTCACCAATCACGTAATCATAGTGCTCGATTTTCATACTTTCATTAAATAAACATCAAGCTGGCTATCTAACACCTACTAAATCACTCGCAGTGCCTCAGAAGGCAGTGGTATCCACTGTGCCAGTGCTGTTGCTTTCTGCCTTTTTTTTTATAAACTCATCTGCACAAACACAGAGGATTATGGGATATACAAGGCAATGAAAGATAGATCTACACTGCCTTAAAAAATGGCAGAAACCTCAGCAGGCAGCGTTCATACAAACATCAGATTCAGACATGGCAGACGGGTGGCATAGCTCAGTAGCTTTTGGTTCTGCTGGGTTGGCTTCAGCTCGCTAAGCTTCTCGGACTCTGAAACTGTTCTGTGTGGGCGAGGCAAGAGACGTCAGTCCTGTGATTGGTCAGGGGAATGCTTATGAAAGTGTTACCCAAGATTAGGACTGGCCAGTTTACATCGTGTTTAATTAATCTTAAACAGAGGAAATCAATTACTAAACTATGTGACTGCATTCCTGGAAACATTACAACATGGCAGCTCTCAGCTCCTTATATCCTCTCTGTGGGTAGGTCTTGAGGAGAGATGTAAACATGCATGAGAACTATCAAGTGTGGTGTGAGAGCGAGAGAACGAGATCTGAATGTGTGAAAGCTGGCAGCCCTGTCTGCTTAGTTTCACCCCTATAGTAACCACATGTGTAATTTTGTACTGTGGCGTCAGTGTAGAGTGAGAAGACACAGGAAACACAGCGCTTCAGGCAAGGGTATTGAATCACGGCAGCAGTAAGAACCGCCAGCGTGTTTATACTTAATAAACTGACAACTGCAGAAAATCAGATCGTTTCAGTAACTGGTTCAAGCATGTTTACACTTAATAATCTGACAACTGCAGAAAATCAGATAGTGCCTGTAACTGGTTCAGTGTGTTAGTGTCTTTAGATGGGAGATTTTGCTGAATAGCCATAGCTGAATAGCTGCAGTAGGCAGCAGCACGGCACTACTACCTCACTAAATAGCCCACGGCCCACCACAACATAGCCCATTAAACGCATCTACACAGCTCCAAGCTAAAAGTCACAACTATTTACATGTTTTTAAATCTCTCTTATCATGGCTGCGGCACTTCCCAAAAGCCTGTATGTGTGGCCTCCTACATGTCCACGGCTTCACGCCAGCCAGTAGTAGAACACTTCATTGCTCTCCACTTCATTGCTCTCCAGAGTGCGAGTAGAGTCCCTGAGGTGTGTGGGAGCACAATGCACCCCCTCGCAGGCTCTGTGCAACCGGGGTTACAGAATGTCCACTCTCTCAGCTGCATGTGCTGCCAGTCCTCCCTTGGGGGCACGTCCTTTTTCCCAGAAGCACCGGAGCAGAGAGACTGACCGCTGCATACTCCTCCCCAGCATGCCGATTCTGCTCAAGGCTTGCGCCATCGTTCCTCGTGCTACCGGGGGTGGCGGCAACAGCAGTGGCGCATACTTCTCCACTTTCTCCACCGCCCACCATGCCACAGGCACCACCAAGACTGCTGCCCATGTCTGTTGGAACCTCACCCTTGGTCACGCACACTGCCTCTAGTCTCTAGACTCGCTGCACACGCCTTGCTGTCAAGCCTTGTTGCATCGACTCTGTCACTAGGCCTTCCCACACTGACTCTGGCCTCCAGCCTCACCTTGCCATCTTCCAGCTGGGGTTTGCTGACGAGCCTTTTTGTGCCATCAGCTGGCACAGCAGGCAGATCATCACCCATTAAGCACAAATACACAGCTCAAAGCTAAAGGTCACAACTATGTACATGCTTTTAAGTCCCTTTAATCACGTCTGTAGCAACTGCGGACAAGCCACATCCATAGCTTCTCACTAACCAGTATCGGGATGCTAAATTGCTGTCTGTTTGTCCATTTTTATTTATTGTGGCTAAGAAAAAAGATTTGTGTCAGTTCTACTAACAGTAACTGCTAATGACACATAGCAGCACTGTTTTTGAGAGTCAAGCATCATGAAAAAAAAAATTAAAGCAAACAAAGGAACAATGAGTGTGTTTACATGTGTTGAATAATCTGATAACTGCAGAAAATCAGAATGTGCCAGTAACTGGTTCAGCATGTTCACACTTAATAACTAATTCTTCATTAACTGGACTATGTGGGGTTAATTTTTGTTATTTAATCATGGGATGTTCATTTTCATTGCAATGTTTCATGAAAAAAACTTTAAGTAGCCTTACTTTTATCTGCTGCGATAATGCCAATAGCTGTTATGATAGGGCTGAGCTAACAATGCATTCACTGGGTTGAGATCATTTTTAGCACTTCTATCAGCTTCTGAAAGCTGGAAAACAGGAAAAACTGAAAGCCTTACGCTCTGTTTAAACCAGGCTTGGGAAACACTGCTCAGTCCCATCCAGAAGCATAAATTGTATTTATTTAGTGACACTAGGCCATCATTTAAGAACCTCGGCCTGCACACACACACACACACACACACAGACCCAGCTTTGACCATAACTTTATTTTTCATCTATTTCATTTGCAAAGAATATAATTTAGGACTTTGTTGTTTAGTTACATTTAGGATAACCTGTTTAGTCACTCATTGACTCACTCGTCATCCTATCCCAGCGCTTACTGGGTAGAAAGCAGGAAACACAGTCCACAAGGCAGGCCACCAGTCCATCACAGGGCAGACGCACACAGACACACACACTCACACCTAGGGCCACTTTAGCATCTCTAGTTGTTCTGACTGCATGTCTTTGGACTGTGGGAGGAAACAGGAGCACCCAGAGGAAAATCACTTAGATACAGGGAGAACACGCAAACTCCACACAGAAAGGTGGTCACTGTTTAGTCACAATTAACATAATCAATATATTCTAGACCCTTTGCACTCTCTTGAAAACATGGAAAAGTTAGATATGTGCATTTTCTTAAAGTGTGTTCTGGCATTGGAGTCTCCCTGGTAGAACTTGCGCTAAAGCTTCAATTTCAATTATGACGGTGGATGAGGGTCACCTGCTCGGAATTCAAGCCCTCAAAAAGAGTGATGGTGGATGGACAAGATTCCAAGGACTGAGAACTTGGGGATGAGAGAGCAGTCAAATCAGTGTGCGGAAGTGTGGCCGAAATGACTGGAAGGGCAGCAGGGTCCCAGGGACACAGACAGCATCTTCACAAATGGATGGTGGACCAGTCTGAGAGGGAAGGGGAGCATATTGAGGGGGGTTTCCTCTGCAGCATGATGCAACGGTGACCCAGTGGAGAGGGAGTGGGAGTAGTGAAATAAGAGAGGCAGTCATGCCTGGCCAAGCTGTCGCAGAGGAGAGGCCTGAGAAGCAACAGCATCCGGAAGTATAGTGAAGCATCAGACAGAGCTGCTGTGTTAAAATACTAAAAGTGAGACTGATGGAGTTGAAGTTTAGCGCATTGGGGTACAGAGATAATGAAGGGGGTCCAGGTCCATGGATGAAGTGTAGAATGCAAAGTGATACAAGGACATGGTGACATCCGGTGAACTGGTGGGCTGTACACTGCTGCAGTGTTATGAGTGACCAACGGGGTCACTTGTAGGTTTGGAAAGAAGAGACAACGGGTGACTACATGAGAGCGCTGGGTAGCAGGAGGGGGTGTATGATGCTTGAAGAGGTAAGGATGTGGTTCCAGATTCTGGTAGCGCCAGTAAGAGTGGGTGGAGGCAATCTGTGCCCGAAGGCAGGGCTGAATGATTTTGACAACCAGACCACTGTCTTTCACGACAAATGAAGTGTGCCAGACTGCCATTAAGGTTTGCCATGAGTCGCTGGACATGGTCACAGCATCACGGCAAGTAGGCGTGCGGTTACTGCAGAGAAGTGCAATTCCTCCCCATCCATAGTTGGAGGTGCATGGCAGAAGGCTGAGAAAATGCACTGATGGATGCTGTCTAGAAGGGAAGGCAGGTCAAACTATGTTCCAGTAGATGGGAGAGAGGGCAAGCTTGGAAGCTTAAGGATTGACAGGTGGAGGCGAGAGGAGACGTGGGAGCAGGCTGGAAGAAATAGTAGGAGGCATCGAGGGCCAAGCGTTAGCAAAGGAATAGTTAAAGGAAGCAGGTAAGGACTGGGTTGGTGAAGTAGGTAACATGGAACAAGGAGGTACGATTTATCGAGGTGGCAGGTATGGAGGGGATGAAAAAGGGAGTAAAAGGAGAGAGAGTAAGATGGATGTAGAGAAAGGAAAATAAAGAGAGGAGGAAAAAAGGGGGATGAAAGAAGAGGGGTGGGAAGAAGATGACAGGTTGAAGAAGGGAGGAATCCGAGCTGAAAGTGGCCAGCATTATTAAATATTTTAGGTTTTTCATGATCTTTATAATCTTTAAGCTGCAGTCCGGCTTCACTGCTGTGTTTTTTTGTTTGTTGTCTTGGCAACTCTTCCCTTGTGGATGCACCGAAGCACCGCCCATTCCCCAAAACCAGCCAATCAACGAACAGCTTCAGAAATAACACACGTTTCACTCGAATCAAACATTATTTATTTTAAAGAATAATTACAACAATAATAACATTAATTATTTAAA